CTCTGTAATCCTAAGTGTGTACTGAAGCTCATTTGTGCGTTGTTGGTTCAAACTGTGTTCTGCTCCACTGTGTTTGGGTTAATGTGATGGTTTTAAACATTAATTCATGGAGTGTTAAAGGCCTAGGGTGTATTAATTTATTTATATGCTAATGGTTTAAACCATGGGAAAATCTGAAGCAAGTCGTAGGCAGTTTACGGACTCAGCGGACCGAAAGGATTTAATTATGCAAACTGGGTCTATAAATTAAAAAGAGTTGGAACATGGATTCCAAACATTATATCATGCTATACTAGAGCCATTTTTAATAAATTAATGTCTTTGTACTCAGGGATTTACCCGTAGGAAGGTATATAGCAGTGCAGGTTGTTAACGGATGAAAGAGGTTTCATTGCTTAATTTAGTTTTAGCAATTTAATGGAGTATGTTTATATTTATAAATCTGGTTGTAGGTGCATGCTAGTATCATTTAATTAACAAGTGTAATCTATGCATATCCTAGATGTTAATTGTTGAAATATATAATACTTTTCTGCAATGCATGGATTTAAGCTTGGAACTTTAGTTGCAGTAACTTTAAGCACTACACTGCAATTATTTGGATTAGAGTTTGGACTTAAATTGTTGAACTAGTACTTAGGTTATGTCAATCTAATTGGACATTGGTTTGGAATTAATTGAAGAATTAAATATGTATTTTCTGTCAATTACCAGGATGGATGCTCGAATATAATTTGACGAATTAGTAAACTTTGTCTCGTTTAATTACATGGATGGATTCTGGATTTTTAGTTGGTGACTTGTTTAAATTATGTGATTATCAACTATATGGATAGTGTGGACTTGATTTGATGTACTGCTTATAATGTTGCATCATTTACGAATTATTTGCATGTATGCACCGGTATGGGACGGTGTCATACGAAGGGATGGATTAGGTCACAACGCTAATTCCTACCCATTCATACATACGGAATGGATTAACTAAAACAGTTAAATCCTACATGGTTTTATGTCATGTCAACTAAAACAGTTGAACGACATACTGGATGATTATTTATATTTCTGTATTAGGAAGGATAGGGTTTTAACTAAAACGTTTAAATCCTGTTTACATGTTGTGTCTTGAGCAATGAATTGTTGACCGACACAACATTGTACTTGGAGGGAACTTATATATATAATTGGGATAGGGATTTAATTAAAACATTTAAATCCTAATTTTATGTTGTGTCATGGCAACGAACAGTTGAGCGGCACTACATTGGTTTGGATGGGAATTTATATATTATGGTACCGCGATCTGAGCTTGAGTCTCATAGTCGACAGTTATGGTGCGTATATGCAGTAGGATGTATAGCTAGCTATGTTGGTTGAGGTATACCCTGTTAGGCTTAGGTAGTCATGCCCACTCAGGTGTGTATTACATGTTGCCTTCTATTCAGGTTGAGACCCTCAGCATAGTTTAGTGAGAGTCTTGTAGTGTGAATATATATTTATTTATTACGGACTATATAGATATGGTTGAGACATCTAGGATGTATCTGCGTATCGGGTCTCTGTTTGAATTGTAGTTAGGATAGAACTTATTCGTAGGCCTGACCCACTATTATTTTTTCAGGTAATGGACGGTTCCAGATCTTAGATTTTGTTTATGCTGAGCAAAGACGGCTTCTCATTCTTCCGACGACGTAGGAGCTTCTTCATGATTTAGCAGTGGAGTTTTTCAGTTGATGATTTCAGTGTTGGAGTTTTTAGGGATCCACCAGATGGATTCCCGAGTTGTATTAGAAATGGAGAATTTGGATGTATCAGAATAATTCTTTATTAATTTAATTTTTATTCAGAGGTTTCAGTATTTGAATTATCATTCTAGTTTCTTTTCAGCAAATTTTTATTTATTCATGTTTCCTTATTTGTATTCTGTGTTCGTTTATTACTAATTGGTTTGATATCCTCGGGTAATCAGGCGTGGGTCTGGCCAACCAGCATCCGAAAATCCGGGGGTATCACAAAATCAATGTTGCATTTTTGACCCATCTATGCATAATTAGTTATCGGATAAATAAAGACATTAATCCGACTATTAAATTAATATATTTATTTTGGTACCTTTGATTATTTCCGGTTTGATCACAATAAAACATTTGTTTGACAAACATAATAATTTGAATAAATAAATATATAGAAAATTATTTTGTCTAAAAGAACACGAAAGCCTTCGAATTTAGTTTGTGATCAACCATAATCAATACAAAATAAATACAAATAGCAATGATGCAAATATTGAAAAATATAACCCTCTAACTATTAATTACGTAATTATCCAAAGTGTCGGTCTATGGATTCCGAAGAATCCGTCGAACAAATTGAAGTAATTAATAATTAATAAAAGAGTTTATACTTCTCTCATGCTTAAGAGTCAAATGCCATGACAGTGATAGGGAAAAATTATATACGACGGCTCTCGTAATATATCTTAACTTGACGCGGATTCTATTTAGGTCTTAGTTAATAATGAGTTCATCCAAAATTATCGACTATGAACTCTTTATGATTACTATTTATGTTCATGTATTGATCGTCATCACCTATATATAAATATCTCTTGTAACCAAGTGAAAATTATCAATTCCATAATGAATCGAAACATAATACATTGAATTCACCAATTGTATAAAGTATAAATATTTCAGATATGTTAGGAACATATGTCACTTTAATCCAAATAGAAATTCGTTATGCTAAGACATACAAATCCAAACATTATTCTCATAAGGTTTTTATTTCTTTTTTAAAAAGTCCAATTCTCTTTGAGAGTATGAGGTTATATGATTGAATTAATGGTTCATTGACTTTTTCTCATAAAGTTTCTCCACCTCAAACTAATAGTTTTATAACACCTTAAATTTTTAACCACCTCATATCAAACCGTTAACTATGAGTTTTCAAGTTTGATGGAAAATGACAAAAAAAATGAGGTTGGAAAATGTCAAGAAACGAGATCATTAGTTGAAATTAGGTTGGAAAGCGATTTTCAAACCGATTTCTCAAGCCATGTTATGTAGCCAAGGGTTAAGATTAATAATGGGCCTATTATTACAGATGGCTTTCTCCCACTTTGAATTTAAATGAGAAGTGAAATGAGTATATATTAGTTGAGTATTAGTATCAACCTAACATGTTAAGCTTTTGAGTCAAAAGAGACTTGGAACGCAAAAATCTCAAGACCAAGACCCAATACTTAATACTGGGCTAAAAATTAAATTGATTTAATCGGATACATCTTAAATCTAAAAATGCACTTCTTTCTTCTGATTTCTCGTGACTGCTCTATGATGTGGCAGGTGATAACGTGATGTCTTCGTTGTCTTCTATCTTTTCTTGATTCCTTTCTTGTTTTATTCTGATTTTTCTTGATAGTGAAGCAACAGGCGTCGTCCTAATTGATATGAAGCAGTAAATGTGGCAATGGGCAGGCCTAGGTGAAGGATTAATTAAAGTGCAAAAGAGAACCTAATGCCACAAAATAGTATGATTAGCATAAATGTTAGACATTATACCCCTTTGTTCAGGCATAGTGGAAGCCAATCACAACCATAATAATTAGGGATGACAATTTGTTCCGCGGGGGAATGAGTACCCGCCCCACTTGCCCCATTTATAATGGTTTTGAAGGACCGTTTACCTATGTAATGTTTATTCTTCTTAATGTTATGGTTTGTTTGATGCCAATATATATATATATATATTCACAGAATGTGTGAAACTAGCTTTAATTTCTTTTGTTTGAATGTTCTTAAAAGCTTTGGGCTTTATTCCAATATGTGTATTTGGGCTTTCATTGAATTTGTACACAACACCTTCTTACATACGGGCCTCAAGCAAAACTTGTGGCCCTTTGTTGATGCTTTGTTTGACTTTCTTTTTTTCTTTTTCTTTTTTTTAAGAAAAAGAAAAGAAAAAGAAAGAGGAAGACTATATGAGATAAAAGAAAGGAGATGATAATATAATCCTCACTTATCATATTTGATTAATTAATATAAAAAAAAAGAAGTGAAAAAGAAAAAGAAAAAAAAAACTATTTTAATGAATTTATTGCCATCTCTTTATTCATAAATTTTCTCTTTTATAAAAGTTAAGAAAATATTTCATCTTAACCAGCTAAAGGTATCATGACATGATTGGCATGATATATAAATTTATTCAAGTAACACTCTATTAAGTACTAGTTTCGTGTTCAGCTCATCAATGGGACTAATAGAATATTGATTCCAAAGGTTGCACTAATGTTTTGTCAAAATAATTAGTTCAGCAACAAGTTGTTGGCTTCAGATTCAATTGTTTGAATTTTGTTTCAACCAATCCTAATTTTTTGAAAGATAACAAAACCAACTCATCAATCCCTTCAAATCCTTTCATTTCTTTTATCTTCCTTCCACAATTTTATACCAATCACAAAAAAAACATACCCCTTCATTTCATTTCATTTTTTCATTTATTTCCTACCAAACAGGGCTTAAGTGACAAAGACCAAAACTTATATGGTGATTAAATTAAAATTGTCTTAAAGGATAAGAGATATATTGTATAATTATAAAAAAATAGAAAAATTAAATTGCATCACTAGAGAAAAAGATGATGGGGAAGATATCGGGTGAACTACACATGCCATGTTATTGGTGTTCCCGGCCAATGAAAACTCAACATACAATACCACACTTCAAGAAAAATTGCTCAAAACTACCTCTCACAAACTAATTTGTTATATTTATCAACATGGTATGCCCTGCTTACTCTATAGCTACTTAAGATGATGGGAAGAAACACCTCCTACTGTCATGAGAAAAGAAACAAACAGACCCACTCCGGCCCGGGCCTAGCCTTCTGGGCTTCAACCGACGGGCCGGGTGGCCTAATTTTTTTTGAAGACACACAACCCAACCCAACCCAACTAACCCTATCTTCTCTTACTTTTTCTCTGCGAAGGAGTGGACGTTGTCCTTTAGCTAAAGAGAGAGAGCACAAAGTAGAAGTTGCCACGAACGACTATTGTAGTGCCCTGATTGTCCTCCGATTCGAGCCCTAACTTTCGATGTTCTTGGTCTCGTTAAAGGTAATACTGATGCATACTCATTTCGTATATCTATTGTTTCAATCTAATTTATCAAATACACTTTTGATTACATATATGTCATATGTGTATACATACATATATGTATTTATTTTCTCATGCATTTTTCGGTATGATTGATTATTTAGAGTTATGGAAGCTCGCGGTACAAAAGGGAGAGTTCCTAGAGTGGTTGAGAGATGGGGAGAGCCAAACTCCTCCGGTTGTGTGCTTGCGGCTTCGATCAGTGATCGTACCCTGTATGTTTTGGATTGTGTTTACTGCAAATTAAATTTAGATATATGTGTATTGTGAAGTGTTTTTCAAACATGTATATACATATGTTTAACTGTATTCCAGTTCTATGTTGTTATTTATTTATTCTGTACACGAATAGGATAGTTTTTTCTTGTTATTCAAACATGTATCCAAATTATTCATTTAGCATTGTGCTACTATAGTGTTGGTTTTTAGTTAAAGATTGCATCTTTTGATAAAACATGCAATTTGTCTGTTGGAATTTAAAAAAAATTTGTCATTCGTTCAGGATAAGGTAACATTTTCAGCAATGGTATGATCACTCTTTTTTGGACCTTCTCATAAGATGAATCCAGCTATTTAAATGAAAAAAATTGTGAATTCAGATTTCCTATCTGAACTAATTTTATAGAACAGAAATTTTAATATATAAGTTATGTAACATAGAAATATGTAAGCCATCTTGCATTCAGTGAAAAAAAAACTTTATAATTGCTGAAGACTTTAATACTTTAAGCTCCTACTTAGCATGATGCATAATCTTCAAGAGAATAAATTGTAATATCTACCTATAAAAAAAGTAAAGTTTGAAGCGTCATTCATCCTCTCTCTTTTTATCTATCTAAACTTCATAATTGCTGAAGACTTCAGTGCTTTAAGCTCCTTAATTAGGACGAGATTTTTGTGCATAATCTTCAAGAGAATAAATTGCAAGATAGGGCAAGATACGGATTCTCTTCGCTCTAAAAGAGCGTCTTGTCAAGTGACTTTTGTTGAGATTGCTACTATAGAGGAGATATCGTGGCGTCAGAAATCTCGGACTTTGTGGCTTAAAGAATGTGACCGTAATACTAAATTCTTTCACAGACTTGCTAACGCTCATAGAAGATACAATAATATTGGGCGTATTCGTGTGAATGGTTTAGAGTTGTGGAAAGAAGATGAAGTGCGTGGGGGTATTGTTTCTTTTTATCAGCAGTTTTATACTGAGACTTTGGAATGGAGACCAAAACTTGATGCTTTGCATTTCGATGTTATTTCTACGCTGGATAGTGATATGCTTGAGGTTCCTTTCTCTGAAGAGGAAGTTCTTAAGGCGTTATCCAGTTGTAATGGTGATAAAGCTCCAGGGCCAGACGGATTCACTATGCGGTTTCTTAAAGAGAGTTGGGAGGTGGTGCGTAATGAGGTAATGGGCACTTTTCAGGAATTTTATTCTTATGGCACATTTGAGAAATCATTAAATGCATCTTTTCTAGCTCTTATTCCTAAGAAGAGCAACGCCTCTGACATTAAGGACTTTCGGCCAATTAGTTTAATGGGGTGTATGTATAAGCTTATTGCCAAGGTCCTTATTCTTAGAATGCGGAATGTATTGGATGGAATCATCTTAGAGTCACAAAATGCTTTTGTTGGTGGTAGATAGATTTTAGATTCTGTTCTTATTGCAGGAGAATGTGTCGATTCCAGGTTGAAGAGTGAAGTTCCTGGTGTTTTATGCAAACTTGATATCGAGAAAGCTTATGATCATGTGAATTGGAAATTTCTTCTTTACTTGCTTTGGAGAATGAGGTTCGGGGATTGATGGATAAAATGGATTGAATCTTGCATCTAATTAGTTATGTTCTCTGTGCTTGTGAAAGGCTCTCCTGCTGGTTTTTTTCCAAGTTCGCGTGGTTTGAGACAAGGAGATCCTTTGTCGTCTTTTCTTTTCCTTATTGTCATGGAGGGATTGAGTAAATTAATGAAAAAGGCAGAGAATCTAGGTTACATAAGGGGGTTCACTGTTGGCAGAGATGTTGCTTACCAAATTGAGATATCCCATTTGTTGTTTGCAAATGATACCCTGGTTTTTTGTGATGCTGATGTTTCCCAACTCAGGTATTTGAGGTGCATTCTTACATGCTTCCAAGCAGTGTCTGGTCTTAAGATTAATGTTGGAAAGAGTGTGCTTGTCCCAGTGGGGGAGGTCTCTAATATTTCCACTTTAGCTGTTGTTCTTGGGTGTGGAGTGGGTGCTTTTCCACTCCTTTATCTGGGCTTACCTTTGGGAATCTCCTCCAGGAGAGTGGGGACTTAGGATCCGGTGATTAACAGGTATGAAAAAAGATTGGCGGGATGGAAAAAATAGTATCTTTCGAAAGGGGGGAAGGTCACTCTTATTAAGAGCACCCTCTCGTCCCTTCCCACATATTTCTTATCTCTGTTTCAGATCCCGTGTTCTGTTGCTGAACGAATCAAAAAAATTCAGAGAGATTTTCTTTGGGGTAGAAAAGGAGAGGAGTTTAAGTATCATCTTGTTAATTGGGAGCAGGTTTGCAAACCGTTGAAGTTTGGCGGTTTAGGTATCCGGAAGTTGGTCCCTTTCAATAGAGCCTTATTGGGGAAGTGGTTATGGAGATTCGGTAAAGAGCGTCATCGACAATGGAGAAGAGTTATCTCGTGTCGTTTTGGGGAAGAGAGTAGAGGTTGGTCCTCTCGTCCTGTTTCTATTACTGGGGGCGTTGGCATTTGGAAGTTCATTCGGAAAGGTTGGGATGTGTTTTCCACCCATATTCGGTTCAAGGTTCGTAATGGTATGTATGTTCGATTTTGGGAAGACTTATGGTGTGGTGATCAGTTGTCGTCTCTTTCTTTTCCTCGTCTCTTTAGCATTGCCGAGAATAAGCATGCTTACGTAATTAACTGTTATCATATTGATAACAGTGGAGTTACGTGGGATGTGCGTTTTAGGCGTTCTTTTCAGGATTGGGATATAGCTGAAGTTTGCGTCTTTTTGGACCTGTTGTATAGACAGAAGGATGTTGACAGACGTTGTGATGATATTTTGTGGACTCCCTCTCTTCATGGTAGATTCGAAGTTCGATCCATATTCTTGTGATTGTCTAATTTTATTGGATATGATTTCCCATAGAAGTGTATTTGGCACTCTAAAGCTCCTCTTAGAGTTGCCTTCTTTGTTTGGACTGCTATCTAAGGAAAAATTCTAACATTAGATAATATGCGTAAGAGAGGTAATACCATTGTTAATTGGTGCTGTCTTTGTAAAAATGATGGTGAGTCCATGGACCATCTTCTTATGTATTGTCCTGTTGCATCTAATTGCTGGAATCTCATATTCAGTATTTTTGGCGTTCAGTGGGTAATGCCTAAACACTCTTTCCAATTAATTAATGCTTGGAGAAGATGCCCTGTTTCTGGTTATGCTCATGATTTTTGGAGGGTTGCCCCACACTGTGTTTGGTGGTGTATTTGGAGAGAGAGAAATAACAGAAACTTTGAAGGGAAGGAATCGTCTTTTGCAAACCCTAAGTCTTTTATTCTACGCTCTCTTTTCTGTTATGTTGAGGCAGCGCTTGCTCCACGATCGATGACTTTTTTATTCTATTGGACTCTGTTGGTCCGTAGGTTTGGCTTTTACTCTTTCGTTTTTGTGTATTAGGGACGCGTTCCCCTTTTGAACGTTTTCTAATATATTTTTACTTATAAAAAAAAAAAGAGAATAAATTGCAATATCTACCTATAAAAAAATAGTAAAGTTTGAACTGTCATTCATCCCTGTCTCTTGTTATCTCTCTAAACCCTTAGTATTCTGCTCCTCCTTTTGTTTAATATTCTTAACATTGATTTGTGGTACAATTCTCATAACTTTGTTTTCTATGGTTTTTAGTACATCAAAATTTATAACAGAATCGTTTTCATAACATAGAATAGATTATTGTTGAAGATTGAAATAATCATATTTATATCTTTATATTGTTTACAAAATTTAGCCACTTGGGTGCACCTAACAATCAGTGCAGATGCTAAGTGGTTCAACTACGTAAGGCAGTAATGTACTTGGTGTATACCGGTGTCACAAAATGACGTTTATCTGTTAAGTAAATTAATCTTTTAGGATAAGGGAATACATTTCCATGATGTGCTTTGATCTCACTTTTTTCTCTTAGTTGGCATGATAATTTTGATTCTCTAGTTGATGACAGTATGTTGACCACTAAAATATTGATATATTAGAATTTTGACTTTTTCATTTGTTGTACTTGTTGGCTTTTGCAAGAAAAAGTGGTTTGGTGAACTCCTTCTCGAAACTATGAAGACTTAGATCACATTTGATTCTTAGTTATTATGTGAGATTTATGTTTAGTAGTTCCTCTGATTGATACTTTGTCTATAATATTTAGTAAACAGATTGAGGTGCTTAGTCCTATTAACGGTGATCTTCGTGTTTCAATTTCCAACGCTGGAACTGCCGACAGTAGGCCTAGAGATGATGGTATCATTGGATTGCAGTTGTTCAGGAAACAGAAATCGGAGTTGTCATCCAGGTATCTTCTGGACTTCACTTTTGGTATCTTAGTGCCCAATGATTCTCTCTTTGCTTTTTAGGCTGTTCTGCTCTTTTGCTGTATGCATGCTTGTGACAATGTAACTTTTGATTGCATGGTCTCCAAGATTTTAATGTTTATTGTGGTAAGGCATGTGTTGCTTGTGGCCAAAGGCCCATGTTTGAATCCCTTCTCCATTAGTCAATATTAGTAAATAACTATTTAATTAAATTATTTTACTTATAAAAATAAAATAAAAAAAAAAGTTTTTAATGTTTATTGAGTTTATATCTGTCATTGGTCTAAATGTCTTTTTCCACTTCCATGCAGATGTCAATAGATCTATGTATTCCTGGACCACTAGCTATTTGGATTTCGTAGTCAAGGCTGCTCCTTCTTTCTGTATTTTCTCATGTATGTTTGGGTGATTTCTTCTTAGGTTGTATTTTATATATGCATGTTTATTTTTCGAGCCACCACAATGTATGCATAATGCAGGGTGAAATTTTGAGATCTTCTCCATCCATTTGTTTTTTTTTGTCTTGAATTAGGTCATGCACCTTGCTTACATGTACAACAAAAGGACTCGCAAGTGTGAGGTCCATTGACATTCACAAATCATCAGCGGATTCAACCACTAATGGTTCTTCAACAATCTGGGATGTATATGCCTCCGGTGATATTCAATGTATGAAAGTGGATGGAAATGAAAAGGGTGAGTTTCTATGTTTCATAACTCTATATTATAAGCTTGTTGGTTGTTTACAAAGTGATACGAGAGGAATGATCATTCCTTGCTCTCCAACTCACGAATGGAATTGAAGTTAATGTGTGGGATCTTGACAAATGTACTAAGATGTTGATTGCAAAATCTGTAAGCTTCCATGACCATCCTTCTTATGCATTTTAAAATTAAGAAATACTTAATCTTCATCACTATTTGACCCAAGACTCTGTATTGTTGCATTTTCTCTGTACAACCTGCTAAAAACAATCTTGGTATATTTACCCCAACTTGGTTTACATCTACAACATTCTTAAAGTAAAGATGATCATCGCAAATTTGTGGCTGGCACCAATTCCCACCAGGTAACTTTGTGACAGCTAACTCCTCTCTTATGTTGTGTGAAACCCCAAGTTCTAATACTCTGTCCAAAGAAGGAAATTCTTTTGGAATGTTACAATGACCAATAAAGTTAATATTTTCTAGTGCATATCTATTCTAATGGGTTGATTAGAATTGTGGGGGTAGTTCTAACAAACAAGCAAATAATTTACCTTTACAAATATGTTCTGTTCGGCTGTTAGAATTTTGGTTTCCCACTCTTTTCTTCACCTGCTTGTTCATAATTGATCATAAATTGTGATCAAGAATGGGATTACCAAGAATATCGACTAGTGGTCCTGATGTGCCAAATGTTGCATCATTATGAATTTTCTGATTCATGTATTTGTGTGTTCATATTTCTATGTATTTCTGTATGGGGAAGCTCTGGCAGGTCTTGGGCAGGAGGCCCATATGGTCACTCTCAGCTTCTCCTATTTATCCCATTTCATTAGAGAAGCGATTTCTTCTATGCTGCCTACGGCTCAGAGACAACTCCACTTTCAATGGATCAGAACCAGAACGCTTAACCTAGGTTATCAACAGCCAGGGAAGGGGGGTTGACAGTCACAATGAAGGACTCAAGAAGGGCTCCCAGGCGAAGTAGCCTCTCTCTCAGAAAGAACAACTGCAAAAGACAGAGCTGTTATGGAGGAATTGACTATGTTAGGGGATCTAGCCTAGCTTTTCGATCGAGAGGTTTCTCTCTTCCTGAACTAAAGGGAATTCAATGGAATGTCCATGCGTGGGAACGAGATGAAGTATGAAATTTTAGAAGACGACATGAAAGTCAGATATTCTTGGTAATCCCATTCTTGATCACAATTTATGATCAATTATGAACAAGCATGTGAAGAAAAGAGTGGGAAACCAAAATTCTAACAGCCGAACAGAACAGTGGTCCTGATGTGCCAAATGTTGCATCATTATGAATTTTCTGATTCATGTATTTGTGTGTTCATATTTCTATGTATTTCTGTATGGGGAAGCTCTGGCAGGTCTTGGGCAGGAGGCCCATATGGTCACTCTCAGCTTCTCCTATTTATCCCATTTCATTAGAGAAGCGATTTCTTCTATGCTGCCTACGGCTCAGAGACAACTCCACTTTCAATGGATCAGAACCAGAACGCTTAACCTAGGTTATCAACAGCCAGGGAAGGGGGGTTGACAGTCACAATGAAGGACTCAAGAAGGGCTCCCAGGCGAAGTAGCCTCTCTCTCAGAAAGAACAACTGCAAAAGACAGAGCTGTCATGGAGGAATTGACTATGTTAGGGGATCTAGCCTAGCTTTTCGATCGAGAGGTTTCTCTCTTCCTGAACTAAAGGGAATTCAATGGAATGTCCATGCGTGGGAACGAGATGAAGTATGAAATTTTAGAAGACGACATGAAAGTCAGATATTCTTTTCTGGTAGTTAAGTGGAGTGATTTTTCTGGAATTAGTTTTAATCTCTCAACATGAGGACCTGGAACCTAATGTCTCTGTACCATTGATGCCCAATACTTCAGTAACTTGTATTTTTTTTTCCCTGGGTAAGAGACTCACATGCTTAAAATTGCCTCCTATGGGGAGTTGAACCCTTAAACTTGGCATGGAAAGTAGAGGAGATACCACTAGAGCTAAGCTTTTAGTCGTTATGAACTTATAATTTCATGAATGATGTAGTTCTCCTCCTTGGAGATCAGTCAGTAGGCATGTCTTTAATAAAGTTGATTTGAAGTTTTGATGTTCTTTAAATCAATGATGTCCTGATCATTAGGATTTCTGACGTGCTTGACTTGAGGCAAAAGCTTTACACACACTCTCTCTCTCTCTCATATACACACCCACACGCCCACACGTCCTAATCATTAGGATTTCTGTTGTGCTTGACTTGACTTGAGGCACAAACATTACACTCTCTCTCTCTCATTCACACGCACACGCACCCACGTCCTGATCATTAGGATTTCTGACGTGCTAGGTTTGACTCGAGGCAAAAACATTACACTCTCTCTCTCTCTCACGCACATGCCCGCGCAACACACACATATTGGTCAGAGGTTATTAGAAGCATTAGCCAATTGTTTGTTGAATAATTTGTTAGTGATCCACAAATATATAGGGATCCGATTATAAAATACTCTAATTAAATGATATGTTGAGGGAAGTTAGTTACTTTAGGTCCACGGCAAAAACTTTCTTTTACCCAAATGATAGTTTTACCGGCCACTTGGTAACTTGTATTCCTTATTATTTTCTACATGTTAGCCTCTATGATATTTCTGCTCAGAGAAGGCCAGTTATGTCATTTGATTTTCGCGAGACCCCAATTAAAGCAATCACTTAAGATCTAGATGGTCATACAATAGTTCTAGGAAATGGATCGAGTGACCTTGCTTCTTTTGATGTACGAAAAGGTATTAACAGTTTCATAGACACATAATTCCAAGAACTTGATTTTCTATGTATTTTTTCTGTATGTACATGTGGGTCATAGTCTGCCATATTGAAATGGTTACCATTAATGTTTTTGCATTTCGGATTCATGTTTGTAATTGGTCCAAGTTAATCCTTGTAATTATTGCTTGAGTGATTAGTTGAAATTTTTGACATTAAGAACTTTGGTGGAGATTTAGCTCTTTATTCTTCAACTAGAACCAAACTTGCGCTGAACAGGCCAGGATTTGCTCAATCTGAGGTCTATCTTGTCAAGGAGTTGAAGGATAACTATCCATTAATCATTAATATGTAGTTTTTAGTTTGTAGATGGAGGAACAGGGGAGAGAAAAGTGAAGAAGAATAGAGAAGAAATTAGGGAGAGAACTCTGAATCAATGATCAATAATCTCAATCAGTCATGAAAATGTAATAATCCTATGTTTAAATCATATATATGGGTGACCAAGCTAAACCCTAATCGTACGCTACCAAAAAGATATAAGCCACCTTATTGAGCGAACCTGGGCTTGGGGTTCTAGTCTGCGAAGCCCATCTTTCCAGTTCGTTTGTAGCCCCAAGCTCGACTGGCTGTTGGTCCGACAGGCCTCGGTATTCAAAAAAAGAAAAAGGTAAAAAAAAATAAAAATAAAAAACAGGAGACGACTGCCTTCAGTAGATTGAGTAAATTGGTCCAAATGAGACATGGTGGGAGACTTCTGCCTACTGCACTAGGTGAATGTGGTTCCCTTTAAAGGAATAAAATCTACAAAATCTTGCATGGCACTCACAATTTCTTCCCCCCCTAAATTAGCACTCATGATTTTTTTAATACAATAGCCTTCAACAAGGATACTTAATAATGTTGGAAGTATCACCATACACCGAGGGCTTCTCCCATCACTTTTTTTACTTCCATATCATCCCAGAGCTCACCCATGTGGGCATCCTCGACCGGTCCATGTACACCCATGAAGGACCAAATGAACATCCTTTGAGTTTGTAATTTGTAATATGATAGGAAACAAATAGAACTTTCTCCATTCATCATTTTTCTGATCCACCCTATTGTCCCACAAATAAAGGGTACCCAATGTTGATAACTTGATATTAATCAAGTGCAACCTGTTCAACATACCTTGATCCTAAATAATTTTCTCACCTCCATAGATATCACTTTCATCTTAGAAGCAGGTTATCTCTTGGACTTCCATAAATTTTATAAGCAAACTGTTTGAAGAAGCCTGCTGGAAAAAAGGTTTGATATAAATTGCATAATGGTAAGATTCGCTTTTTTTGTAAGTTATTAATTGAGAAATAAAGTTTCAGATGATGATTTCAAATCTCAAAAGCAATCTTACTGTTGGGCATATATGAAATTATTTCAATAACTGATATTAAAGTGTGATATGGAATGAAACATATTGTTATTCTATTATGATTTGGTTCAAATTTTTGGGTAATGAAGTGTTGCCATAGCTGTGGATTGTGCATAGCACAGAACCTCCCCCATTGTTTACAGAAGTTGTTGGGTGGGTTGTGCTCCACCCGTGTTTTTTCTGGTTATTTGTAGTTGATTTGTCCCCAAATACTTCCAATACATCCTCAAATACCTTATCAGTAAATTTATTCATTCGTAGGTTTGTCAACTTGTCTGGGATGATTAATATTGTCTTCACCATGTGAATTTGCACATACACATGCATTATGCCTAGAACCCAACCTGTAAGGTAGTACTTCTAAGCTGATCATATTGTGTCTATTATGTTTTTTTTGCTTCCCATTGTTGATTGCTTGTCATATTTTACACACATTATTATACTCTTACAATGCTTATGGAGTTTTCACATCGCTTCTGGTTGTGTTGATTTGATTGAATTCTTCCAATGACGTGGAATGATTTTGCTACTCATAGAAGGCCATATTCAATTTTTCATTTCTTTTTTTCCAAAAGATATTCGAAATCAGTTTGTTTGAAACCTTGAAGCATGACCATTATTTGTTGGACCTGGTTGTGAAGCCTATCATCCTGAGATTTATATATTTGGTAAATTGCCAAGATTTACTGTTCATGATTCTTATCTATGGGTGTTGCAGGGAAACTATTAGGATCCTTTTTGGGGCAATGTTCTGGAAGTATAAGATCCATATCCAGGCATCCGGAGCACCCAGTGATAGCCTCATGCGGGTGGGTCTCTGGTGCTTGTATTGTGTTGTAAGTCGTATATTTTTATGAAGAAGCAAATTTAAGGAGACATCTTTTCATCTGTTTGTCCAGACAGTTGCATAATAATTCTAAGTACAATATATAACCGTGTGTCACCTATTAACTTTCTTCTATTCTATTCTTGTTTGAAAACAGAGAGTTTGGGCGAGTTACTATGGCCTGACCAATCAAAGTAGGAATTTAACAACGCATGTGTAAGTTGTACCAATTCCTTGTTCTTCTGACAGTTATATTACAAAGCCTTCTTTTGTGACCTAAAATTACCTATGGACTCCGTTCATTCTGCAGGAATTGTGAATTCTTGACAAGTTTAAGTCATGAATCTTGCTGGATAATTATATATAAAAAAAATTAGCATTCATGTTGGGTATTGAATTCAAGGGAAAAATAGGAAATTATACAGAAAAATATTCAAAATGTCTTTCTTACTTCCACCCCTAAAAAAGATAAAGACTCCGGGATTCATCTGAATGAAAAGGAAATATAAAAATATAACAATTAACAAAGAAGCCACTAAATGAAAAATGAAAAAAGTAAATTAATAAAATTCGTATATTGTAGTTTAAAATAAAATAAATGAAAAATCTCTTATTTCCCTTTGGTCAGGAAGTAAAATATTGTAGTTAAAAGGTTCAACTATCCAAAACTAAAAAGGGAAGAATGTACAAGCCATAACTTATACAAGCAGGATGTAGGAGAAATAGCTTATACAAACATATAATTAAAGAATTACCAAAGCTGCTCCAGCTTATACAAAAACATATAATTAAAGAATTTCCAAAGTTGCTCCAGCGGGAAGTTTGGTGCCAAGCTTCTTGGCACGTTTTCTTGCTACCTTTCTCTCTTTGGTCTCCATGAACTCCCATGGAGTTCCTATTAGAAGTGGTTGGCGAGAATCAAGAGTAATCTTCTCAAGATTGATAGCACTCTTAATTAAATACATTGCAAGCTGAACATCACTTGTAAGCCCAACAAAACCAATTATTTCCACCACCTTAAGGTACTGATGGGGCCGAGATGTAAACTCGCCTTGTTTTTTTTTCCGAAGGGCCTTGCACCATTCCAGCTGTAACAAGGAGGAATAAAGTCGCATGGTGGGCAAATTATTATTAGCATACAAAACCAAATTACCAAGCATCAAATCATAATTGTTAAAAACATGACATTGCTAGAATCAATGGAATAGCCACCACAAGCTCCAACAAGGCTATTATACATATGACTGATAAAAAACCAAATTACCAAGCATCAAATCTTAACTGTAAGTTAGAATCACAACATTGCCAGACTTAATGGAATAACCACCACTAGCGAAATCGATCGCATTAGACATAAGAAAACACCACATTAGAGAGGAATTCACACTGTTCTTAAGAGCAATAAGACTGAATCTAACCGAATAATGTTATAGACCTCAAGAGTTCCTACTCCGGGAGGAGTTCTTGAATCATCATGAAAATAAAGCAATCTAAGAAAATGCAACATATTAAAAGACCATGTATAACTCCAAGGAAGTAAAAATTAAACCAACACGAGAACAACAGAATGATAAACATTCAGTTATAAAATACTTGAACAAGAGAATAGAGCAAGCAAGCTAAACACTGTTAGTGCATTTTTCCTATTACTAATTGTAATTTTGTAATAGCTATAAGGAAGCAATTAATTGGAAAATTGAAAGCTTTTAGGTTGAAGTCCAAATGAATCAAAATTTCCATTTGAAAATTCAATCACGAAAGCAATAAACCTCACAGATTAGAAATGCAGGTTGTGAAGTAAAAGTTATTACCTCGAATACAAATTTAGACAAGAAAGGACATGCCTCTATCAGGGGAGCAAAAACAAGAAGGTCTTCACCATCAAGTGCACCAACTGTCATCTTCAGTTGCTTGAGTTTATTTAATACAGGAAATTTAGCATCTTCAAGACTATTCTACATAAACCAAAGAAAAAGTAAATCAGCACAGCTAAGCTAAAAAGTAAAAAGAATAAAATAAAAAACTTATAGTTAAACTTCCTAACCTTAATCATGGTTGTCATTTCCAACGCAAGGCTTTCTAGTTGAGAAAGATAGCTTGAAATCTCCAAAAACTTATATATCAGATAATTACAATATTCACCCCCGATAAACAAATCAATAGGTGGCTGGACATTCTTAAATGGCAGGCTTATTTTTGGTCCGTAGTACCTAAATGACATGAGATTCGTAGCAAAAATCTCAATACTTTCCACATTGAAGCATAAAAGTATCTCCAAACGCTTCAATTTGAGTGAGAGATCAGGAACTTTTAGATTTACAAGACTATCGGAATTTTTCACACACAATTGTTCCAATAATGGACAGTTAGTTAAGAAGTACTCTAGAACTTGTCCATTTATATTGGTGTCCGTCAACAAGAGATTGGTCAGGAAGTTGCATTTAGTAAACCCAAGAGACAATGAATACGGGTGATTTGTAATACCATCTAGGTCAGGAAAATTGTAATTCCCTCTATCTCTATTTCTGATACTTTCTGACAAGTCTAACTCAAGCCTCTTAACTCTCTTTTTCATTGCAAAGTTAACCCAATTGTCAATATCAAGTCTATAAGTTTCATCAAGATCAAATTGAACTCTGAATTCGTCTATAATTGGCGCGTTGTGCGATTTCAAGACATGATTAACCCAACTCAAATACAATGGCCTTTCTACTTCAACTTTCTTTTCTCTGAGTTTAATTCCAAATTTTATAGGTAAGGAATCAAAGTTCAAACCAGTAATGTAAGTCCACGTGTATCTCCATCTCTTGGATAGCAAACTTGTTCTTCCAGCTTCTTTCATTGTCAATAGTGACAAGATTGAAACGAGTATAACATCAGGAAGTCCACTAATGTGATCCTCCAAACAGAACCCTCCTTTATCATCCTTCTCACTATTCCAAATAAAGATTAAAATTTATTAATAATTAAAAAAAATGTGAGACAACAGAAACACCATAGTAGTGCTGAATTTTTGTAACAAAATTTCTTCATTTATTTAAGAATAAAAAATATAAAAGAGATGGTACCTTGCGTTTTGAGCACAACATATTGAGGTGGTTTTCTCTATGGGATTTGAACTTACAGTTTTCTGCATAATTTAACAAATAAAATCTGCAGAATAACAGCAGGAAGAGAAGATGAACCGATTGGAGATATAAACCCAAACAATAGAGAAAAAGAGAGCAATTTTTTGGTCTTGTGTATAAACAAACAAGACCAAATTTTGCTAGCTTTATTCGATGGAGAGGAAAAGAGAACAATTTTATAATAACTTGGGTCTGCACCACGTTGGAAAGTAATGTTAAATTGGGTTTCTACCAACTTGGAAAGTAATACTAGTAATAATATGTTTCCTGTGTCTTATTCGGATTAAGCCAACTTAAAAATACCCATTTAACCTTTTTAAATATATATATATATATATATATTACGTAATAATAATATTACTTGGCACGGCCCGGTCCAATCTTATAGACATTATACCAACTTGGAAAGTAATAATAATACGTTTCCGTGTCTAGGATTAAGGGAACTTGATACCCGTTTAACCTTTTTTTAAAAAAATTTAATAATAAAATAAAATTTGGCATAGAATACTCACCGGTTTTGCTTTTACTGCAGGGCATATTTGGAAAATATATATATATATATACACTAATAAGCGTATTTGTCAACAGTCATCATTGTTTCACATTAGATCTAGATCTAGTTTATACTGAATATTAAATTATGACGTTTTATTCTTTGAGAGTGTTGGAAAGTACAAAGACACAAATGTATTATTATGATGACATATTTGGTTCAATTTTTTAAAAGCATCTTCCGAGAATTTAAAAAAAAAAAAAAAACAATTTTTTGGAAAACTATAAAAGATAACTTGTTCTAAAAAAAAATAAAAAATAAAAAAAAATCTGTTAAGAAAACTATAAGACAGTTTTAAGTTTTCGATCAATAACGAAATCCGATCTGCAAGAAGGAAAAAGAGCAAATACAGAACAAATTTAATGATGAAAGCACAACTTACAAGATCTTATAGTAGATTCGCACTGCAGATGCCTCGCACTCGCACTCGCACTATAAAAATCGTGTTTGAGAGAGACGGGGAGTTGTATCTCGTATGCGGAGGGCTCTTCATGTGGTGGTGTTACTGAATTAACACATCTGACACGCCCTGCTGCAGGCTTCTAGATCTAGCCTCAAAGGGTTATCATTATGTTTCAACTTTTACAAACCAACGGTTGAGATGCTTTTAAATCTAATGGCTGAAATTAAAACTTATGAGCAATGGTAACTGCACAAGGACAGTCGTCGTGTCAGTAGCCTGCTTATTTAAAATATATATATGTTTTAAATTTGCACCACCCCTTGCAGCAACCACACACCATTTCTTACAAACCAGTTCACCGACGACTGCCACTACTCCGACCACTCATTTCACCTTATTGTACCCCAATTTTCAATCGACGGTGTATAAATATCCGCACTTTTGCTGAAAAGGGTGGCAGTCGCGAAGAATTAGGGTTTCGGCGAGGGACAGAGAGTAGAGGGTGTAGTTCGTGTGGCGGACGTCATGTAATACTCCTAATTTTAAAAGGATAATCTCGGTATTTATTTATTTATTTATTTTAATTATATTTTTTAATTATTTAATTAATTATTTGACTAATTGTTTATGTGTTTAATTGAATTAGGTATTATTTGATTATTTGATTATGCGTCTATATATTATTAGTATTTGTCTATGTGTTAATTGTTTAATTAGATTATGTGCTTAAATGGTGTTTTGATTAATTGTAAATTAAATGTTTTTTTTTATTATTATTTTATTTTATTTTTCTTTTATGGTTATGATTAGTAGTAATGGGTCAACCAATTGGGTCCTATGAACTACTTGGATAGGAAGTTGAATGTGTATGGATTATTACCCATGGATAATGTATGTATATATATAGATATATATTATATACATATATAAAAAATGAAAGTAATTTATTAATTATTTTTATGGTAACTTAGGTAGTAATATTTAATCTGATGTATATGTTTTATATTTAAATAATAAAAATATACATAAATTTGATACGTGTTATGTTTTAAGTTACTTTATAATATTATGGTAACTTAAATATTATTGGATAATCCATTAATAAATAATGGAATGTGTATAATTTATTTATTTAATAAACATATACATAAATTATATACGTAACATATTTTGCTTACCTTTTTAATATTTTTATTTTCATTTTTTTTTAGTTGACTTAGATTGGGAAAAAGGTTAGGGTTAGGGTTATTTTATTTAGCCTATAAATATATAGTTATAAGTTGTAAAAGGGGGTTAGAAATATTCACGTGATATATACTGGAGAGATAGTGTTAGAGAGAGAAGGAGGAAAAGGAAGGAATGAGAAGAAAAACTCTATTGAGAGAAGATCAAGGAAGAAGAAGTTTAACTTTCGATCCGAAAGTTTAAGGCAAGTTCTTCTTCTATCTCTTTCCCTTTGATTCGTGTTTCTGTACATGTCTAGGAAATTTCAGAATTTATTAAACACATAAAATTAAATAATTATGCATGTTTAATTGGGTTAGAACATAGATTTTATGAAATTGGTTCATATCTGTTCTTGTGTTATGAATTGATAAAATGCATGATTTTGATTTGATTTCTTATGTGAATTTTTACATGTTTAAATTATGTATTTTTCATATCTGTGGAATGATGGAACGTAGAAACATGCCTAGGATTCCTGAACATTAAATAGGGACTAGGTTTGGGTTTTAATAAATTTAAATAGACTCAATCATAATGATGCTTGCTATTTGAATGTTTTAAACAAACGAATGGATTTAATCTTTTAAAATATTTTAGCAATTGAGATTTAATGTGTAGGATGAATTGGATATAGAGAATAATAAAATATCATCATGTATAAGATTCAATTTGTGTAGGACATATGATATAGGAAGTTTAAAGAAATAATAAGTCATTCCTATTATGTGATAACTTGATATCATATTTATCATAGTTATTTATGGAATGTTTGATGTATTTCCTTAATTGTTACATCAATTGTTTGGATTGTGTGGTTTAATGCACCGGTATGGGACGGTGACATTCTAAGGATGGATTAACTTATCAGTTAAGTCCTACCTATTTTATATAAGGGAATGGATTAACTAAAATGTTAAGTCCTACTTATATTTAAGTCAGGTCAGCTGAACAAGTTGAATGACTTATGTAGGATTAATTTATTATATAAGGGAATAGAGTAACTAAAATGTTAAGTCCTACTTATATTCAAGTCAGGTCAGCTGAAAAAATTGAATGATTTTATGGATGATTAATTTATACTGGATAGGATGGTTACTAGATTATATATATATAAGTATGGTGACATGATATGAGCTTGCGTCTCAGGATCAATGGTTAGGGCGCGTATATCGCCAGGGATGTGTAGCTAGATATAGTGTAGTTGTGTACCCTGGTAGGTCTAGGTACTCATGCCCACTATATGTGCTTTTTGCATGTTGCCTACTATTTAGGTTGAGACAACCCTATAGTCTAGTGAGGTTCCTTTAGTGTGTATATATATATATACGGACTACTAGTTATTGTTGGATTGACTAGGATGTATACGTGTATCGGATCTCTGCTTGGACTGTAGTAGAGTAGAACTTGTTTGTGGGCCTGACCCACCATTATTTTTCAGGTGTTCGTCAGGAGTAGAGGTTGTTTGTGCTGAGCGGGGATCAGTCTACTTCATTCTTCCGATGCTACATAGGAGTTCCTTTATGATTCAGTTTCCTGATTTAGACAGTTATTGTTGCCATTTGTTTAGTTTGGATTTTCTAGGGGTCCACACAGTATGGATTCCCGAGTTGTATTTTGGAGGATCAGTTGTATCAGAAGAGTTTATTAATTAATGGAAATATATTATGAGGTTTATTATTAGATTATCATTTTAGTTTATTGTCAGCATTTTATTTATTCTTCTTTATTCTTTTGTACTCTGTGTTCGTTTATTATCAATTGTTTTGATATCCTCAGGTATTCGGGCGTGGGCCTAGCCAACCCGCATTCGGAAATCCGGGGGTATCACACGTCAGGTTGATCTCAGCAAGAGGAGGCGAATGGCGATGGTGGAGATGTCGGTGCAGAGTAGGTCAGATGGGATGGTGGGCTTGGTGGTGGGGCGGAGGCGCGTGAGGTGGTTGATGGTGTGGAGCTGTTGGATGGTGGTGGAGAGAGGATGTTGGTGGAGAACAGAGCCATGAGAAGGCACAGATTTAGACCCATTGTGTAGCCATGAGGAGGAGGACACCATAACTTGTGTTTGAGCTCAATTGTCTCTGCTTTTCAGGTGCCTGATGGTGGTGATACAAGGGGTCAGGGGTGTGGTCGTGGTGATGAAGGACACCATAACATGTCCTTCTGCAGTCGCGTCCTCAAAACTTATTTGAATGAATAAAGGATTTATAATTTGAGGGTTGCTATCTCAGTCTCCTTTAGCCACCCACAATCGGCCCCTCCACCACTGCTCACCCACCATAGGAGACAACCATTCTCCACCCCTTCCCCTCACCACATACAATCGGCATCCCCGCGAGCTCACTCTCTCCTTTAGATCACACAATAGTCAGAATCTAGGGTCAGGTTTAGAGTTTAGACACCATTTTGTGCTATTGATTCATCACCGAAATCCCCAAATCGAAGAACAAATCAGCCATCATCGTCTTTTGATTTGACGGCGAAATTGGCCGAATTCCCAGCAGCGGTGCTCCATTGGGTCGGGACGAGTTACCAATCATCCTCGCCGTCCCCTGCCGCCGTCATCTCCTGCAACTGCTAAGACGCCGTCTCTTGCGCAAACAGCTCGCCAGTGTTGGTTGTAGTGTATATAATATATATATCTTACTGGTTTTGGGGGTGAGAAAGATTGATGATGAAATGGTTTTTTTTTTTTTTTAATTGGGTTCGCTGGTTAGGTGAGTGAAAAAGAAATGGCCATAGATAGGTTTGTTGGCTGGGTGAGAGATAAAAGAAAGAGAAAGGAGGTCAAGAATGGCGGCGGCGGCGGCGGCGGAAAGATACGAGGTGGGGAGCGATCTTCTTAAAGAAAAAAATAATGATAAATAAATAAAATAAAATAAAATGTTTTGCCACCTGGCTTAAGTTGAATAGTGTGATAGACACTTGTCGTGATTGTGCCACACGTATTAAGGTTGGACAAACTTCATTCATGGGTTGGATGCAAGTGTCGTCCTTTTTTTCTGCAGCATCTTCCATGGTACAGAGATAGAAGACACATACAATAAAAAACCCAATCAATCAATTAAAAAAAAAAAAAAAATCTTCCATGGTACAGAGATAGAAGACACATACAATAAAAAACCCAATCAATCGATTAAAAAAAAAAAAAAAAAAGGTAGAAAATTTGTGTTTTTTTTTTTTTTTCCTTTTTCTCCATATTTTATTGTAAGAATACAATATTTTTTTATAAAAGAAAACATAAATAAGACGAAAAAAGAAGTTGAAAACCAAGTTGAAAGCTAGTTTTTTTTAGAGAGAAAAGAAGGGATACAAAACCAAATTATACATTTTAATATGGAAAGCCAGAGCTATACTTTGAATACAAAGAAAAAGGATCTAAAAAAAATAAGATTGGAACTTTAAACATTCAATTATGAACTTTGAATAAAGAAAATTACTATGTCAAATGTTTTATTAAATATTGAAACTATTTCACCCGGCTTATGAATGTTGAATTTTAAGTGAGTCATATTACGAGGTTCAACCGTTCTTTAGGTGAGGTTCGGTTCGAAGGTGGAAGAAAGGTCTAAATAGTTGATATAGTAGGGCCCAGAACACTCAAAAGGTGGGTGAACAAGAGTTGTCATGATAGAAAAGAGAAATGACTATAAAGAACCAACGATTCTCTCTTCTTAAACAACCTATATCCGTCGTACTGAATCAGCATTTGATAGTGTACACACATATTTTGTAATTTGCAAATAATAAACAAAATTAGGAGCAAATAGAATTTTATTAATTTATATAGATGGAGTACAATCATTTGTAATAATATTCCAAAGAATAAGGTTCTCTGATTTGATTTCCTTTTTGGTTGGTTGGATTTAAGGGCTGCACGAGCTTGATATTGAATCATCGTGGAATTTGGATGAAGAACGGCACGTCTTTGGCTGTGCTTGTTGTTGATCACCGTGGAATTTGGATAAAGAACGGCACGATTTGATGTGTTTATTGTTCTTCGTCTTCAAAGAGGATTTGTTGAATTTGGTGAAGAACGACATGACTTTGGATGTGCTTGGTATTCTTCGCCTTCAGGTTTGCCCTATGAATTTCTGATTTCCTCAATTTCTGGACCTTCTGGATTTCTGCGTCTCTGGATTTCTGAACTCTGAATTTGTGTCTTCCTCCACCTCTAGGCCTCTATTTATAGGCTTCTTAGATTAATTGGATGATGACACATGTCCTCTCCTGATAAGGAAAAAATCATAACTGAGCCAGGCCGATTATATTATGATAATTATCCTTAAAAATAATTATTCCAAATATATTTATTAGGAATAATTATCTTTCTATTTAATCATCTGGGCTGGGCCAATTAAATAATTTGAGTGGACCGAGTTTAGACCAATTAAATAACTTAATTAAACATTAGGCCCATATTTAATGGGTCTATTTGTCAAAATAAAGCCCACTAAAATTTTAGTGTCTACATATTCCCCTCACTTCGAGTCCTAAGTTTGACATGACTTGTTTTTTTTTTCAAATGGGACTTGAAGTATCCAACTTTCCCTTTTTTTTTTTTTTTTTTTTTTTTTTTTTCGACTTTGGATTGTAAGATTTCCTCTTTTGCTTTTATATCCAACTTTGGATTGAAATTTTACTTTCCTATTTGAACTGAATTATATATACAAATTCCAGTACAAACAAGAGATATTTTGTTGCGTATATATACCACCAATATTATAGGTTTTGCTATTAATTCTACAATCTCTGAAGACATGATAGATTGTGGTCTCTAGTTGAATAATCGGTATGATATTTGTCTCCTTTTTTTTTTATTCCTTTTCCACACCTTTTTTTTTCCTTTTTTTTTTTTTTTTCATTCTCTTCTTTTTTTTTGACGCAATTTTTTTGCCCTTTTTTTCACGTAATTTTTTTCTTTCCTCTTTTTTTTTTTTTTTTTTTTTTTTTTTTTCTTCTCTCTTTTTTTTCCTTTCCTTTTTCTCTCTCTTTTTTTTCACGCAATTTTTTCCTTCTTTTTTTTCTTTCCTTTTTTCCCTCTTTTTTTTTCCCCACGTTTTTTTTATCAGGACTTTTTTTTTTTTTTTTTTTTTCTCTTTTTCCTTTCTTTTTTTTCACAATTTTTTTTTTTTTTTTAAGGGCTTGATTGGGTATAACAACTTAATTTTGCCAGCTGTAACAGAAATTGAAATCGTCCTTCTAAACAACACCGATCGAGCTTCAAATTTGTTTGTTGTTCCATCATGGTGGTATTCAAGTGTTTTATGAAGCAATTATGACTATTTTAGAGAACAAAAGTAGTCGAAAAAACCAAGGAACCACATTAAGCGTATCCGACTCATTTTTCTGTTGCAATGCCATTCATATGCCTGATCCTGACAATGAAGATTGTTCTTTTTATTGGACATGCATTCAAATGCCTGATCTTGACAATGAACATTGTTCTTCTCATTGGACACGCAAGGTTACAGGCGACCTCACCAACTTTGGTCTTGATCAGATTAATGAAGAATCCATTGTCTCGGAAGCCTTGATATTAAACTTTTCACTTCATGAGAGAGTTATTGAGAAAAACCAATTTTCACTCTTGGGTCTTAATGTTCAGGCGAAAGAAGTATCATACAGTATTCCTTGTATACTTTCTGCTGAATTGCCACACACCGAATTATATTGGGAGTGGTTAGAAGATGTCTTGGCACGTTTCCACGACTTTCTATCAAAACAACAACTATATGGTGCTATATTTGCCTCCCTATTTTCATATGATCGCCATGAAGATGTATTCAAAGCATTCCTTGAATGTTGGTGCCCAGCCACTAATATTTTTCATGGTTCTGTCGGCGAGCTATCTTCATATAAGCACCATAGAGATGTATTCAAAGCATAACTGGTGCTCTATTTGCCTCCCTATTTTCATAAGAACCTTCATCCTTGCCCCCAGCAGGGTGAAGGCGGTATGAGTTTGAGTTGTTACTTTGACAGATTTGGTGGAATCGACTTTCATCGCATCGTACTGTCTTTTAGCGGGAACACCATTGAACTTGCAGAAGTGTTTGTACCACTTTACGAAATTGCAACCTTCTTGCCACCTTTTGTGGTGGTATTGATGTTGTCCATCATGACTGTGATGTCCTTGGGGGTATTCTTGCTCTTCGTCTAAATCTTGTTGGAAGTCATACAATTTGACAATGAATTGGTTAAGGATTTGATATAGGAGAAAGATATGAGTGGCAAAGGATGTCCCATCGGGCGTGCCAGAAATTTGTACACACAAAATTTGTAATCTGCAAATAAGAAACAAAATTGGGAGCAAATATAATTTTATTAATTTATAAAGATGGAGTACAATTGTGATACCCCTCAGATCCAAAACACGGGTTGATCAGGCCCAAGCCTGAACCCGAGGGAATATCAAACAATTAATATTTTAAAACGAACACAGAATACAAAATGAATTAAGAAATGAAAATAAAGCTGAAAGACTTCTAAAATATAAATCCTTAAAATTAAATAATTAAATCCAATAATCCCAACAACCTCCAATATAGGCACAACTCGGAAATCCATCTAGTGGACCCCTAAATCAAATCCCAACTGAACATAAAATAATTAGAAATAAAACCAAATCTAAAACATGGAATGAAATCCTACGTCGTCAATAGAGCGAATGATAGTCTCTGCTCAG